ACCGAGCCTGCCGCGAGGGGCAAAGGGCTCGCGTGGTGTCAGTTCCCCGCCCCCGCCACACCCAGGCTGGGGGGGCTCACTCCGGAATTGCTCCAGCCCCGAACTCCGATAGCAGCCTTTGTCCCCCGTAGGGCCCCGACAATCGGGGTGTCCCGCCGCCCCTTGTCTTTGCAGGAAGGGCTGGCTCCTCACTGCCAGGTTTCCACACACCTGAGCAAACAGGCATCCGGGTAGGGAGAGGGGTTTGGAACTCCGAGTGGGAGCCGGAATGAGACGGGCAGAGCGAGGGGAGCAGCTGTGGAGGAGCCGCCGCACACTTGGGAGCCGCCCCCTCCCGCACCTGCGGTCCGGGGCTTGGCCACCAGCACCTCAGATTTGCAAAGCAAAGCGGGCTGCTGCAGAGCGTGAGCGCTTCGCTCTCCTTCCCAAGCAGGGGAGAGAGGGGCTGGACCGGAGGGGCTTCTACCCTACCCGGCCGCACCCGCTGCTCGTCCGTTAGTTAAATCCAGTGTGCTCCCTACCAGGCCTCCGGCTACGTGCACCGGCCGGGGGGCCTAGGACCGCCCCGGACAGGACCGAGCAACTCCGGGGGACCAGGGCGGGGCTTGGGATCTCCCCTGTGGAGACCGCAATGGCTCAATCCGAGGGAAGCAGAAAGCAATAGACGTGGACTTCCCAAACATTGCCAGAACCACCTCTTCCTGATCATGCAAAGCCCAACTAATTTCTCACCTTGGTGAGGTAGACGGTGAAAATTGGCAGTTTGGTTTGAAATGGGCCTTTCTTGCCCGGTTGGGAGTTGCATGCCTGGGAGGCTGAGGCAGGAAGATCCTCACGCTGTTTCAAGTCCAGCCCAGGCAATTTAGCGACTTAGCAAGACCATCTCAAAATAAAGAGGGTTGAGGACGTAGCTCCAGGGTGGAAGACCTAAATTCAAACCCCAATAACACAAGCACCCACTCAAACTAGGCATTCTTGTGGGTGGTGCTTTGATTCCAGGGATTCCAAAAGTGGGGGTGGGGGACGCGCTAACAAAGAGCTGATAGGCCGACACGGAGAGCCCCTGGGGTGAAAGGTCTGGTCTCCTACCTGGGCGGCAGACTCCTAAAATGCTAAAGTCATGCTAATGCAGACGAGGAAAGCATAAAATAAGTGTCAATGGAGCTATCTACTGCGGGCTGGGTGGGCCGTTGGTGGTTTTTGTATGCTTCGGATGCCAGGGTGCAGGTAGACGCCGTCAGGGTGGGGAGGAGAGCCTGCGGCAGCTGGACAGTGGTCAGTGAGGGGTGGACGCGGAGACGAGGGAGAAGAACTGCACCTGACCCCAGGAGAGGCCAGGACCCGGGCCGGCGGGTTGGAAACCAGGCCTGCAGGTGCCAAACAGGTCCCTGCCCATGGAAACGGGCTCTGTTGACTTTGGCAGCCACGCCGAGCTCTCCTAACCCCAGAAGGGCTCGAAACTGACGCTGGGCCCTGCCTGGGGGCTGGAGGCGTTCCCGCCGGGTCCTGCTCGGGCCGGCTGTGGCAGGCTGCCGGCCTGGCAGAGAAGGGCGCAGCTCCAGCGGGGCTGGTGTCTGTGCCCGCCGGCGGAGGCCAGGGCTCTGGTCGGGACCGGATGAGAGGCCCCCGTGGCTTCAGACTGAAGACAGAGAAGAAGGCAGGGTAGACAATAGAAGAGTTCTGGAGATCAGATCGACTACCACCTACGGACTCCGGTGGTGCGCCTAGGTGGTGCGCCTAGGAGGAGCAGAATCTCGCTATGTGCTATGAAATCGAATCCACCGTTTATAGATAAGCACCAGGCCGGAAGTGCTTCCACGACTGAACAGACACTGAAAGGAATTCACAGTCCTGTAATCTCAGCCCTCGGAGGCTGAAGCAGGAGGATCCTCAGTCATAAGGTGGAGGCTAGCTTGGTCTACGTCGTGAGTTCAGGGCCAGCCTGGACTACAAAGCAAGACTGTGTTTCCAAAAAAAAAAAAAAAGCTGGGCATTGTGGTGTACGCCTGTAATCCCAGCACTGGGGAGGCTGAGGCAGGAGGATCGCTGTGAGTTCGAGACCAGCCTGAGCTACATAGTGAGTTCCAGGTCAATCTCAACTACATAGTGAGACCCTGTCTCAAAAAACCAAAAAAAAGAGGTTGGGGGGAGGGACAGGGATTTAGCTCAGTGGTTTTGCCACCTCCCTTGCAAGCGCAAGGACCTGAGTTTGATCCCCGGTACCCCCCCCACCAAAAGGAAGCAATTCAAAGTACAAGCTGCATCACTCCGCAGCATCCTCTTGGGCTATGCGGGTATCTCATTTCTGCCAAAGCCCAGAGAGCTCAGCTCCATCCTGCCCTCGCTGGAGGGGTTATGGCAGCCGTCCTGAGAGGAAGAGGAAGAAACCAGGAAAAAGATAGTCAGTCATAGATGGGGAGGCAGAGAACATGGGTGTTAACAGCCTTTTTGTTTTTGCAGAGCCTGGCACTTCCTAAGCAAGTGCTGTACCACTGAGCTCCAGCCCCAGCCCCTAACAGTCACTTTGAAATCCACTTTGCAGAAAGACTGCAGCAGGTAGAATGGAGACCAGGTGCCAGCGGGGGTGAGTTGGGAGAGGGCTGGAGAGGGCCGGGAGGGCTGAGCCTGCCACGCTGAGACAGTCTTTGTTTTCTGGGCCAGCTGCCACTTTTGTCGCCATGGAGATGGGTGGCCCAGGACTCTGTCCAGCTTCTGCTGCCCATGAGCAGTCTTCTGGCCAAGATTCAGCTTTGTTGCCGGCCGAGAGAGGTGGTGGGGAGTCTGATGGGTCAGCGGTGCTGCTGAAAAATAAAATGCCTGAATCCTACAAGAAGCCAGAGTCAAATTTGTTTTGTTTTCAGTGCTGGGGATTGAACTTAGGGCCTTCGCCATTGCTAAATCCCCAGCTGTCATATATATATAAATTACTTATTTTTATTGATTTTATTTTGAAACGATGTCTTGCTAAATGGCTAAATTGCCCAGGCTGGCCTCAAACTTGTGATCCTCCTGCCTCAGCCTCCCGGAGTGCTGGAATTACAGGAATGTGTCACTGTACCCAGCTAAGAGCCATGGTTTCTTAAGGAAACCAGCTGAAGGGAGAGGGCGGGGAGAGAGCAAGATCTGGGCTAGACTCTGGATTCTCAAGTCTGGGGTACTGACCTTTTCATACCTTGGCTTATCCGTGATTCAGCCTCCCCAAAGGGATTTTATTATAACAAGAAAATTAATCCATGCATCTTTTTCTCTGGGTGTATTGGCCTGTAATTTCAAAACTCAGGAGGCTGAGGCAGGAGGAATTGCCTCAAATTTGATGCCAGCAGAGGCTTCATGATGAATTCCAGGCCAGCCTCCCTGCATAGCAAGACTTTCTCTTAACAAATAAATACCACAATAAATGTAAACATTAATTGTTGTAAACATGAGCTAAAAATAATAATAACAATGATAAAGAAACTGGGGACAAGATGTAGGGTTGGAGGGAGGTGGGTGGGAGGGAGAGGGAAATAAGATGTGTTCTGTACATGCACCTGCTCCCTGAGATAAATGTAAACTTCATGTATAGCAAACATGGACTAATTAAAACAATAAAGGGGCAGGGGATGTAGCTCAGTGGTTCTGCTGCCTGCCTTGCAAGTACAAGGTCCCAAGTTTGATCCCTGGCACCAAAAAATGCAACAAAAATACCAATAAAGATTAGTACAAATCGTAAAGCAAATAAGCAAAAAGCAGGTGTTACTTACTGAAATAAATCTTAGTCTAGGGGCCAGGGATTTAGCTCAGCGGTTCAGTGGTCTGCCTTACAAGTGCAAGGACCGGAGTTCAATCCCTGGTACCAAAAAAAAAAAAAAAAAAAAATCTTAGTCTAGACCCGAGTTAAATGTTCTTTTTCTTTAAGACAGGGTCTCTAGCTGGGCATCCTGGCACACGCCTGTAATCCCAGCACTGGGGAGGCTGAGGCAGGAGGATCGCTGTGAGTTCGAGACCAGCCTGAGCTATATAGTGAGATCCAGGTCAGTCTCAACTACATAGTGAGATCCTGTCTCAAAAAACCAAAAAAAAAAAAAAAAAAAGACAGGGTCTCTGGACTGCCCAGACAGGGCCCAAACCTTTCCTCCTTCCTCGGCCTCTGAGTGCTGGGGTTACAGCCACACACCACCTACCAGATTTCCCAATATTGAGGATTGAAGCCAGGGCCTTGGGCAAGCCTGGCAAACACTCTGCCACTAACTACATCCCCAGCCCTTATGTTGTTTATTTTATTTTTGTTTATTTAGTTACTTTGTAGTACTGGGGATTGAACCCAGGGCCTTTGAACTGAATTGAGGTGTATCTCCCATCTACCTGCTTTTAAAATTGTTATTTGTTTGTTTTGTTGTTTTGAGACAGAGCCTCAGTATGTAGTACAGGCTGGCCTTGAACTCACTGTATAGCCCAGGTTGGTCTCGAACTCATGGAGATCCTCCGGCCTCAGCCTGCTGAGTCCCGGAATTAAAGGTGTGTCCCACCACGCCCAGCTTTTAAATTGCTTTTGAGATAGGGTCTTGTCACATTGCCTAGGCTGGGCTCAAATTTTCAGTCCTTTTGCCTCAGGACTCCAGAGTGCTGGGATTATTACCACACCTGACTTTATTTTTATTTTGAGGCAGAACCTCCCTGAATTGCTTACAATGGCCTAAAACTTCTGCTTCTCCTGCCTCAGCCTCCTGAGTAGATGGAATTACAAGCAAGTGCCAACAAGTTAAATATTCTTATGCTCATTTCACAAGAAACAGCCCAGAAATGGCAGGTGTTTTTCTTACTTGACTTAGGCTTCCTTTATTTTTTGGTACCAGGGATCAAACTCAGGTCCTTGCACTTGCGAGGCAGGCCACTGAACCGCTGAGCTAAATCCCCGGCCCTACTTAGGCTTCCTTTAAAGACTATCATTCCAGTTGAGCATGGTGGCACACGCATATAATTCCAGCAGTCTGAGAGGCTGAGGCAGGAGAGTCACAGACTGAAACCAAACCTGGCCAATTTAGTGAGACCCTGACTCAGAGTGTTAAAGAAAGTTAAAAGGGCTTGGGATTTAGCTTAGTGTGAAGACCCTGGCTTCAACACCCAGCACTGCAAAAACAAAGCAAATGAACCACAAATAAGAGGTTCATCTTTTGAAAAAATGCTGGAACTGTCCAGATTCTGAAGAAGGGATTGCTGTATTTCCGGCTGTAGACAGGATAATCGTGTTATGTTAGGCAGGATTATACATTTGCTATTGTCTTTATTTTTATTTACTTGTTTAGTTTTGGTTTTTTGAGACAGGGTCTCACTATGTAGTTGAGACTGACCTGGAACTCACTAGGTAGCCCAGGCTGGTCTTGAACGAACTCACAGTGATCCTCCTGCCTCAGCCTCCCGAGTGCTGGGATTACAAGCGCGCGCCACCACACCCGGCTTAGTTTTGGTTTTTTTGAGACAGGATCTCACTGTGTAGTTGAGGCTGACCTGGAGCTCAGTGTATAGCCCAGGCTGGTCTCAGACTCACAGTGATCCTCCTGCCTCAGCCTCCCGAGTGCTGGGATTACAGGCGTGTGCCACCATGCCTGGCTTATTATCTTTAGTTAGACATGGGGTACGGTACAAAGAGATGTGTTTGGGTAGTGAATCGACAAGGGGGGATGTGGCAGTTAGTATGCAGTGTCAGTTGGACTGATTTTGGGGTTCACCCAGGGGACGGGTGTGTGTGGGTCGGCCATGGAGATGTAGACTGGGGTCTAAATCTGGCCCTTCACCCCCTGCTCTGCCAGTTCCCCCACCTTGTTTCCCAGCCCCATCCACTAGACAGCTGTGCTCCACCCTATCCCCAGGATGAGGCGGGGTCTGGCTCTGCATTCCAGGCTGACCTTGGACTTACTGTGTAACCTAGACTGGCCTCAGGATTTCAATATTGTGATCTTCCTGCCTCAGCCTCCCCCGGGCTGGGATTCCAAGTGTGTACGCCACACGCTGCTTCCTTTGTCTCTTGAGCTTTTCTTTCTTCTTTTTGAGGTGGGCCTCTGTTGCCCAGGCTCCGGCCTTGTCCCCCGTGATCCTGGGATAACAGGTGTGCGTGCGGCACTGCACCTGGCTGAAAGAATCACAACTCCTGATCTGTGAACTCCGCACAAGTTGTACTTCTCCCTCCCTTCGGGAGGATTCCTGGCAGTGCAGCCCAGAAGGGAACCCAGCCCTCCGGAGCCCTCCCACCCCTGGGGCTGTGTTGTCCCAGGGCCCTTTTTCTATTGCACTCTCTTCAGAGGTCTCCGAGCGGCCTTCCCTCCAGCTGCCGCTGTTTACTTCATTCTGTTTGTTTGTTCTCGGTTTTAGTTTTTTATGTTTGGTACTGGGGATCGAATTTGGGACCTGGTGCTTGCGAGGCAGGCAGGGCAACCGCTGAGCTAAATCCCTGGCCCGGTTTTGGTTTTTTGAGACGGGGTCTCAGTGTGTAGCTCAGGCTGGCCTTGAACCCAGATTATATGTGGCGTTGGTTGGTGCCGGGTAGCTCACAACCATAATCTCAGCCTCTGCGAGACTAAGGGCAGAGGATTGCAAATTCAAGCCCAGTCTGGGCAATTTAGTGAATTAATGAGACCTGTCTCAAAAATTTTTTAAAAAAGAGGGCTGGGTGGCGATTTGGGATGGACCAGTGGTTCAGTGCAAAGGCCACAGCTGGTCCAACCCCTAGGGCTGAAAAAACAAATGTACAGTGGACCCTTGTCTTAGGAAATCAGTTTGTTTGTGAGGGCTGGTTGTAACTCAGGTTGGTCCACTGAAGGCTCGGGCTCCTGTACACAAGCCTTCAAAGTCTCAGTGTCCTTAGAGAGACGCTGGCCAGGCTTCCTCAACCCCACACAGGAAAGGATGCTGTCATGTTCCTTCCAGAACTTTCTAAGGGTTAGATCTGTATCTGAGACCATCTGGAAGCACAAGCGGCCAGCACGCAGGTCGTAACTCAAGACTTTGCGCGTACGTTTACAATCTGGTCGTAACCCAAGTCATTCGTATGTCAGGCCGATCCTAGCTTGAGGCACAGAGGCTTCAGAGAGGAAGTCCCAATCCCCCAGGGAGAGCTGTCTCCAGGGCCAGGCTCAGGACTAGGGCGCTGTGGGGAATGGGAAAGTAGAAATGAGGTTGGACCTGGGCCTGCGCTGCGCTCTGCTTCGCTCTGATTCTCCTTCACTCGCAGGTGCGGGGCAGGATCTTGGGGGCAGAGGGAGGGTGGATCGCTCAAGGTTTCTGGCTTGCTCTGGGGGAGAGGGGACCTGGATTCTCCAACCTGCCCCGGGGAAGAGCGATTCTGTGAATCTGGGCCCCAGGGCTGCTGCTGGGGCCCCAGCCTGGGTCTTCATCTCTCCGGTGCCACAGCCCAGGCTGCCCTTCCATCAGTCTCCCCCTCCCAGACTGCAGCCCCTCTGCTTTCCTCCTCTTTCTTTTTTGTGGTCCTGGGGCTGAAACGCTGGGCTTCTAGTGTGCTAGGAACCCTTCTAACCCGGTTTGGACCCCTTTCTGTCTTTCCAACACCTTCCGGCCCTTGCATGTGATCCTGATACCTTAGTGTGTGAT